CCCCTCTCTCCTGTCAGGGGCAGAAGGAGACCCGCCTCCCTTCTCCCCCGACAGCTGTAGTACTCATGGCGATCCCTGCCTCTTGCGCGATCTGCTGCAGTCTGGCCTCTTGTTCCTCAAAGCTCATGGCTTTGTCTACATCCATCTCAAGCTTGGCCCTCACGGTGTTCTCGATTTGCAAGCCGGGATTGCCGTACTGAATCCAAGACACAAACCTCTTGCCGTACTTGTACTTCATTTGTTGCAAAAATGGAGTGAACTCGGGGATGTCAGACTGACAGACGACCGCTGCGTAGGTCAGAGTGTGAACGACCTGTTGCAGATCCGGAGGGCATTGCCTGTAGTTTCGCAGTAGGTCCACATATTGCACAAACGGAGTCTCCATTGCCTGCACAAGAGGGATGGCCTCGAGGAAGGCTTCGTCGGCAAGGAAAACTTTCAGCTTCGTCCTGGCCAGCTCTGGCGCTTGGTTGCTGAGGGCGTCGACCACCTCCGCTCTCCTCTGCTCCATCAGCCGCTGACGTTTCTGCACGACATGCGGGATGTGTGCCATCGCAGATCGCAATTTCGTCTTGCACACCTGAGGGTTGAATCGGGACACGAAGGGAAGGAAAAAGGACAGCCGAGGAGCAGGCCCCGCCTCTTCCAACGGTTTGGGAACATGTCGAAGGTCACCAAAGAGCCTCCCGCACGACATCGCAATAACTTAAGAGGAGAAAGCAAAACAGAATTTCAACTAGAAGAAGAAGAAGAAGAAGAAGAAGAAGAAGAAGAAGAAGAAGAAGAAGAAGAAGAAGAAATAATAATAATAATAAGAAGAAGAAATACTGTTACGTGAGAGGAGACAGAAGAAGGAAAGGATACTGTAACGGGGGGGGGGGGAGAGAGAGAGAGAGAGAGAGAGAGAGAGAGAGAGAGAGAGAGAGAGAGAGAGAAGGAAAACTGTACACGGCGAGCGAGTTATAAGCGTCTTACAGAGACTCGAACGACAGATACATAGGAGGCCGAGCACGCCGTTGACGAACCTGGAACAGAAGTCAGACCCGGTGAGTCGGTGACTGACTGATTAGCTATGCGGGGAATAAAAAGAGGTCAAGAAAGAGTCTTCGGCAGCAAAGAGTCGCGATCCCACGGAGGACAGGTAGGGAGGCCCGGAATGGAAACCAGAACTATTGTTCTCTCCGGGTGCTTGTGAGGTTCCTAGGCTTTTTTTTTTTTTTTTTTTTGGGCTTCGGTTTTGGAATCAATGACGAAAACAATAACCAAAACAAAAACAAAAAATAATTAAAAAATGAAACCAGTAGCGGAACCGTTAAATTAATTCACGAATAATTTTTCGAAAACCCACAACAACGCTCTCAGACTGGCAGGCTGGCAGCAAAGATCCTCGCGCGCCGAAGAGCCTGCACACACACACACACACACACACACACACACACACACATGAGTCGGTGAAAGTCCGACGAAACAGTCTGTTCGGCAAAGTCATGCTTTTTTTGAGTCTATAGCGAAAATGGGTCTCGCTCCACTACTCTAGACTCAATAAAAAATCTAGAGTGACTTATGGCTCCACTACTCTAGACTAGGAACCTCGAATTTTCCTTATAGAGTAGTCAGAATTTACTAAAGAAATTGTCTAGAGTAAAGCGTTGCTCCACTTAGGGCCTCGCCGGAAGGTACACGAAATGAGAAAAAAAACTAATTCTTTTCGTGAATGTTTCGCAGCACAGTCAAGAAATGAAAACTGTCAGGAGGAATTTGCGAAGTGTGTCAGATTTGCAATTCGCGAGTCTCTGCACGTGCCCCTTCCATGCCCGCCTGCAACTCGCAAAAAGTCGTAGGTCCTCCGAAGGTTGCTGGTGGAGCTGCGAATCCACGCGAGTGCAGCAAGTCGGTCCAAGGGATGCAGCACGTAGGTCCAAGGGATGTCGGTCCAAAAAAAAATTAGCATTTGTGTAGCGGACCCACCAGGTGTGGTGCTCCGCTAGTGACAGAGATGGAGATGGAGGAAGAAGGGGGAGCAAGATGGCACAACGCAGCTCCCCACGCAAGACTCCAACG